CCCGGCGGCGGCTGGCCGGGGACGCCGTCTCGGTGGGTCCTGCGCAGGCGTCGTGCACCGCAGGGCTCAGCCCTGTGCTCGCTTGCCTGTTTCAAATGTCCTTTATCTGTGTGCGACTCTTAGGGGTGCATCCTTAACCGGGAAGAGGGTTGATCCTTCGCCGCCGGTGACATTCCTGCGGGCGCGTTCCTCCAGGTTTTGCGCGGACGCCTCCCTCTCCAGGACTCTCCGGGTGCTGTTGGCCAGGGTGTATCTGAATGCCCCTTATTCCCAGGCCCAAGCGACCCTCTCCGGGAGGTCCAGACCTGAGGCTCCCAATGTGTCTGGCTTGGTGACACCTTATTCGGGATGGCTCACAGCAGAGCAATGGGACACCTTCCGCTCTGAGCCCGTGTTTTGCGGACTCTGATGGGGGAGGAAGAGCAAGGGACAGAAATGCTCACCGCAGATGACAGTGGACAGCTGAGTAGCTGCCGACCCCACGTCCTGTTAAGGACACCAAGGCGGGTTGCAGGACTCCTGCCACGCCCTTGTCACAGACCTTGTCTGGTTCACCAGAGGCCTTGGGTCGGCCAAAGAGAGGATATCTGTTCAAAGTTACAGTAGGACGAGTTAGTTGTGATGGTTGCAGGCCTGTAATCTCTGTATTCTGGGAGGCTGAGGCAGGAGGGCCCCAAGTTCGAGCCCAGCCTGGCAACTTAGCAGGACCCTGTCCCAAAATGAAAAATCAGAAGGGAGCATCTCCTGAGACGTGCAGAGGGGCCTGCGCTATGCTGTGACTTGACAGTTCTCCTCTGCCCGGTGGCTTCTCACAGCACCCTGTCCACACCTGTCCTAACAGTGCTGCCCACCCAGCACCCCGGAGCCTGCCGGATGTTGAGCAGAAGTGGGGTCTCAGGCTTCCCAGCTACTCGCCCAGGCATCTTTGTTCTAACGGAAGACAAGGGTCAGGGCTCCAGGGTCTGCTCCATGCTGTTCCCTCAGCTATCTTGCAATGGCGGTCAGGATGGTCTGGGGTTTAGTGAAATCTGGGGAGCCGTCCCCGCCTCGGCCCTGCCTCGCTGACCTCCTTCCTCCCTGAGCCTGGGAGGAGCTGATTTCTGGGCTCATCCTGGGCCTGGCAGCCCTGGCACTGAGGACACACAGGGTCAATTTTCCTCTCCCAGCCCTCAGCCCGGGTCACCCGGTGCCTCTTCACCCGGTCACAGGCCCCACGGACCAGGCCTTGGGCGCTGTGCAGTGTTGATCAGAGCCCAGCAGTGCGACCAGCAAAGGTCAGAGTGGTTCCCAGCCACGGCCTCTCACTGTTCCTCCCTGCCAGGCTAGGAGGAGGTGGGAACAGCTGGGTGAGGCAGGCCTCCCTTCTTCCTGCCGTTACTGCTGTGTTTTCTTCTCTCTTTCCTCCTTGCTTGCTCTCCTGAACCTACGGCCTTCCCACTGAGCTATATCCCTGGTCCCTCAGTTGCTCAGGCTGGACTCAAACGTGCCATCCTCCTACCTCAGCCTCCCAGAACGCTGGGATCACAGACATGGGCCACCGCGCCCAGTTTACTTGTAGCTTTTGTCAAAGGAAAACTCCAGAATGGGCCTGGGAGTGCAGTGAGCCTATGAAGGCTGCCCAGAGGCGACTGCCTGGGGACCGAACCTCTCCACCCTTACGAGGCGGGGAGCCTGCCACCACCAGCAGAGGTCTGCAGAGGTCCAGGTCGGCCTGGCGCAGGGCCACGGAGTCGCCTGCAGGTCTGCCCGGTTAAGGACCATCTGTGAGGCAGGCATGCCATGCGCGCTTGGCTTCAGGGCCCGGCAGGAGGAGGCCACCAGGGAACGGAGGTGACCCAGCTCCTATTGTCACACCACCTCCTCCAGCTTTGCATTTCCCATCTTGCAGCACGAGACACTGATTTGTGTGTTTTGTGGTGCTAGGGGCCGAATGCAAGGCCTCCACACTGAGCTACAGCCTGGCCTTTTTAATTTTTATTTTGGAACAGTCTGGCTACACTGCCAAGCAGCCTAGGTGGGGCTCCTCCTGCCTCGGGCTCCCAGAGTGCTGAGACGACACTCATGGGCTACTGCACCTGGCTTCCTAACACGAGACATCGAAAGCCTGAGGGAAGTCACTGCCAGCAAGGCCACCATGAACTTCGGCCTGAACAGGTCTCTGGGGAGGTGTGGAATCTGCACGTCTAACCCATTCCCAGAGCCCTTGATGTCCTGGTCCAGGGATCACGATGTAAGGACTTCTGATTTCTAGAAAAAGAGATAGCCAGGCGTGGTGGTGCACACCTGTAATCTCAGCACTCAGGAGGCTGAGGCAGGAGGATCGCTGTGAGTTTGAGGCCAGCCTGGGCTGCAGAGTGAGACCTTGTCTCAAAAGATAAAAAGCCTTAGGAGGCCAGGGTGGCCTTGGGCACAGTGCAAATTACCACCTGGCTTTGCAGGGCCACCAGGCAAGCATCTGTGGCTGCCAGTACCGCCTGCCTAGCCAACTGCCTGCAGCTGGGCGTGCTGCCAGTGCGGCTTTCCCCGTGACCCAGTGTGGCACTTGCTTTGGCTCAGGCAGGCAGCAGGGCCAGGGTGGCGGGAGCAGGAGGTGATTTGAGGAGTCAGTGGCGAAGCATTGTCCGCATGGCCCTGCCCAGGTCCCCACAGGACCCTGAGTGCACACCTGTCAGACACTCTCCTGTGCCCTGGCCCGCACTTGCCTG